GACATGGGTTTAAGAAGCAGCTAGCTGAAAGTCAGAGATCCACAGCATCACAAACACAGCCATATGCTAGTGATAGTCTGATATATCAGCCAGACGATTAACTGGCCATTTGGAGATGCTCAACATAAGTGTGTCAGTTCCAAAATCTACTTGCAGTCTTGTCAATAGTTAATGCACATTTTCTGTGCACATACTTGTGAGTGAATTTACTATTGTGAGTAATTGACCCTGCATCGGGAGTTTGATTGACAGGTGATCTGACCGATCATAACTCCAAATCTGACATTTTTGGAGAGTAGAATGTCGGTGGACTTGAACTTGAAAAATGGTGTACATTGAGGTCTTTCAGTGGTTGAACCAAGATACCTTCTGATGTTCATTCATGTTTATTTCCTGCTATAACTAGTGAAGAGGAAGAGATGATTGGTTCACATGCCGCTTGAACTGAGGTGCTACAGCGATATGTAATGACACATTAAAGAGCCACAAAACGCTATTTATTATTTGAATTTCTTAATAAATGACAAAATTTGAAAGCTGAGACTTTGTTTCATACCGAAAGTAACCTGCTCTGTCGTGTCTGTCGGCGTGTTGTCAGTTTCCTCTTTGCTCCGCAATGTATTTTTCCCTGTGTGAGAACATGATGTGTAGCGTGAGAGCACCATGCCATGGCTTGTCTGACGTAACAACAGTAACTAAGGGGGCGGGTCTTTGCGAAGGGTCAATTATGCTGTAAAAATAATGTACTTTTATTATTTTACCATTATAAGTGAATTACTATAATTATTGTGTAAAATAATAATCTATTTTTATTATTTTATCATTGAGCGAAATTATTATTGTAAATAATTGAGTAAATATTTATTATCGTTATTTTATTATTATGAGTGATTATGCTATAAAAGTTTATTTTTATTATTTTATTACTATGAGTGAATTTAGGCCTTTGATTGTGATAAATAATGCTGTAAACAATATTTTTATTTTATTATAATGAGAGACTTTATTATTGCGAGTAATTATCGTGTAAAATATTTTTATTATTTTATTATTATGAGTGAATTTGTTATTGTGAATAATTACAAAGTAAAGAATCATAATTTTATTAATATGAGTGACTAAAGTATGGTAAGTAATTATTGTGTTAAAAATATAAATTTTTATTATTTCATTATTTTGATTGAATTTACTATTGTAATTATTGTAGAAAATAATTTTACATCATTTCACTGTTTTATTGTTTTAAGTGAATATATCATTAGTGTGTGAAAATTTTTTACATTTGATTTGACTGTATTTACTCATATTTCAGCTATTTTCATCTCATTTGCTATTACCTAGCATTCTACCATATTTATTTACATTTTATTAGTACCCTCCTCACTAGATCTCAGCATTGCCGTCGACCACTGAAAAATGCCGGTCAAATACAACATAAAATGACTGCAGGATTTCTGAGTCCAAGAGTGCTGAATCAGAGCATCATTAATATCAAATCCATGCTAAATCCACACTGCAGTATAGCAAGCTAATATTTACAGCTGCAAAGACGAAAAGGCCTCTGAAGAGTACAAAAGCAAAATAGAACATACAAAACACACATTAAAATCAGGCATTATTATTTCAGGGAAACAGAGTGTCCCAAAGGTCTCTAATGAAATCAAGGCAAATTTATGACACTGAGCGTTTAACTACTTTCTACAGACTGAACTGAAGCACAATATGTTTACACCAGGTTTTACACAAATGCAGCTAAAAAAGACATTCGTGTTTGTTTTTCACTCAAATTGTTATGCTGGTGATACATTTTAAAAACAGAAGTATGGTCAGTGTTCTATAAACATAAATACACTGTATACTATATGCATATTAAATAGTGTTTCTCAGTAAGGCCCTTGAAGCAGGGTGCAAACTTGATCTAGGCTAGATGCTTCAGATGTCCCCATTACTAATTCTAAACAGGAGAGGCATTGTTGCAGCATGGGTAGCTAAGAAATGACTAGTGCTTGAATATGTCAACGGTTCCCACAACACGAGCAAGCCTTTTAATTAAACTTCTGAACAACTCCTATCCCAAATAAGGTCAAATAATGTACCGCAGGTGAAAAGGGTGACACAGCAAAGTCATGCGCACCGAGAGACTCCAGCGCTCCTCGTGCGCATCAAACCAAACGCACCGCACGCACCTGTAGTACGACAGGAGGCCGTTGCTCAGGACGAACCACCGGCGCTGGTAACCCTTCAGGTAGTTGGTCCATTTAAAGAGCCATCCTTTATAAGTGTCCGGCCCGGGACCCTGCACACCTGAAGGAGACGGAAGGGTCCGCACCACCAGTTCGGTCATGTCGCTGCTGGGATACACGAGCGCTGCTGTCTGCCTCACATCTGCCCTCCTCCCATTAACCTCGCGCGTCCCTTCGCATGAATGCAACACGGTTAGGGCACGAGCGAGGAGTCAAATGTGCGGTCACAGAGAGGAGAGGCGGCGCTTCTGCGGGATGCGCTGGAAAGCTGATGCTGCTGGGGGGAAACACAGTGTGTGACGTAGATGCATCGCGGACGCACAGATTGCTCCGAATCTGCCATATGACGCAAAGACATTAGAGAGGAGAACGGATGCGAGGATGCACAGGCGTTTAAGAGCTAAAGTATGCATCCCGAGATAAGCTTGGCATGAATGCAGCAGGGCCGCATCCGATATCGAATAGATTCTTGGTCCTTGCATTATGGCTTTTGGTGCTGCAAAGTCATGCGGCGTTTTTCCTCTCCGCTATTTGTATTTCTGAAGTGATGTCTTCAACGCAGTGCGCTGTACTATCCACGAGAGGGCGCCACAGTTAATAATGAACGTGTCTTTATTATTTACTCGCACTCGTATTGTTACAACAGTGTTGCCAAGTCCGTGGTGTTGCCGCGGGTTGTTTTTCACGTCAAGCGACTCCAATAACATGACATTTATCCCCTGGAATGCGAATTTTAGCAGGGGAACCCCGCCAAAAAAACGTGTATTTTACCGCCCAGAACGCGATTTTTAAATGGGGACCTCCCCCCCCCGAAACGCGATTGGGCTAGTTTTGAGTAGTGATTGGGCGGGTTTTCTTGTGAAACCTGGCAACCCTGCGTTACAAACCGGTTACTGCTGTGGAATACAGGTGAATTTTCAAGCATCTTCACTCAGATCTTTTCTATAGAATTACTCGAGTAACCAAAACACCATACAATTAGCTCACTAACCATGAAGTCATACTGGGTGAAGAAAATTCAATTGTTATTCAAGAAGTATTCACTGTCTACTTCACTTTCATTTACTCACCCTAGTGTTGTTCTAATGCATGTTGTTCCCTTCTTTTTCTTTTTCAGACGACAAAAGTAGAAATTTAAAGAAATGACGTCCCGCTCGCCCTCCTCCATAATGGCTTTTTTCATAATTAAAAAGAAAACAAGTAGATAGGACAGAAATAGAACAGAGAATTCTAGTGTTAGAGGGTCGAGATGGAAGATATGTGTCTTTAACCGTTTCTTGGTTATCAAATCTTATTTAAAATAAACTTGATTGATTAAGGGATAATGTAATATATAAATACATACATACATGCTTTAAGTTCAAATTATTTTTATTGGCATAATTGGAAATATTATAGATGAGACAGAACAGAACACAACCTCTGCTCTGTGTGATACACAGGGTTTATGGATGAATTTGGGTAATACAGCATTTCTGTGGACAATAGTCATTATTCAGAAAAAAAGTTGACTGCTGAATTTACTTATTATAATCAATAAATTCGTCAAAATAGTACTTTACCTAAACTCCACATTTTTGCTTAACTCATAATTTATACAAATACCTGCTGTATGAGACCAGGCCTAGATATAGCAAATGGACTGTCCCACTACCAGTGTCAAAAATGAACTTTTTTTAATTGTAAAATTATAGAGCAGTATTTGCCTGAAATTGATTTTAAGGGGCATTTGAGAGCATTATGAGCATTAGTTCTTTCTAACCATACAAAAACATGGCATGACATTCATTTAGGTCAAATAATTCAAACATACTATAAAGATGAATATAATGTAAAATACCGAAGATCAGACTACAGATTAAAATTAGGGAATTTACTTTAATACTTTATTTTTATTTCAGGAGTGCCCTTTACAGAGGTGTCACCAGCAAGCAGCCTGACCTCTCAGTCCTCCCAAGTGGCCGAGCTGTATTAGGACTTTGTCAACACTACATCCCCCGTATCAAAGTTATTTCTATTTACATGTTTACATTATCTACATTTGTAAAAGTAAATAAATGTAAATGTATCCATGCACAATTTCTATACTAAACATGATTTTAATGAATATATTGTGCTGTTCTATTGTATTGTGGTGAAGAGTGTGAGTAGCCAAGGGTATAAATGAAGTCTGTCTCTAGTGTTTATTCTTCAATACTTCGCTTTATTAAGGGCGCTGTGCTGAAAAGTAGACATTCTGCTAGAATAAGGTGGGTAATCGCTCCTTTAGCACAACGGGACACAACGTTTGGCTAAACTACTCTTTGACCGTTAATATTTAAACTTTCAGGAAGCAATATTAGATGTTATATATTTGTATGTTTATAACAATACTTATTTAGAAAATACTAATTATTTGTTGTTTGCGATGTCTGCGGAAGTGAAGTCGCTGGCTGAGATTCTACAGGAAATACGTAAGCAGCGTTCGTGCATATTGTCCGTTCAGAACGGATTTATTCTCTAGTACAGGGGTCAGGGTCACCAAACTCGGTCCTGGAGGGCCGCTGTCCTGCAGAGTTTAGCTTCAACTTGCCTCAACACACCTGCCTGGAAGTTTCAAGTATACCTAGTAAGAGCTTGATTAGCTGGTTCAGGTGTGTTCGATTAGGGTTGGAGCTAAACTCTGCAGGACCGTGTTTGGAGACCCCTGCTCTAGTAGATGGCACTTAAAAAATAAATAAATAACAGCATCGAACACGAACGAAAGCAAGTAAAAATTTTTCCAGAATTTTATTTTTTTAGGTGAATTCTTTTAACACTGTTTGAAATGGCATAACGGGCTGAATAGCATCAGCTATTTACATTACTCAGTCACACTGAAGATGCTACACTATTTAGGTGAAGTAATGACAGTAAATGCAGAAAACAAGTACATGGCATAAGTATTTACAGCCATGCATTTAAAACACCCACAAAATGTTTTTTTTTAATTATTCAACATTTCCAGACACGAAAGCAGAGTAAAGCAAATGAGGGGTAATGGGAATTTAAAAAAAAAAAATATCACATTGTTCCACAAATATATTTCTGACTAATCCAAATGACACACTGAACACCCTGTATTTACATGTGCATCTGGTTTCGATTACATTTCTGGACCAGAAAAGCAAGCACAAAACACAAAAGTAAAAAATAAAATAAAACATTCACTGAGGACTAACGGCAAAGCAGTAACGAGTTCCATACTAACCATTTATAAATATGGAATTGCAACTTTAAAATCAAGTGAAAAACAAACAGGTGTGGGGAGATGTTGATAAGCGAGGCATCCCTCAATATGGTCTTTCTCGCCGTTCCTGACGATGGTCTCCCCTGCAAAAAATAAATAAATCATGCATTTCTGTTCTTTTGTGGCTACGAAACCTTCACACTTCCACAGAAACATACTCACTTCATATCCATTTTGCCAGGCGGTCCCATTCCTCGCCCCCTTCTTCCCATGTCATCCATAGGAGGCCCACCACGACCCCTTCCTCCAAAACCGCCTCTGTCCATGCCACGCCCTCCTCTGAATCCTCCACGATCCACACCTCTGCCTCCACGGAATCCACCGGGCCCTCCACGGTCCATTCCACGGCCGCCACGCATCCCACCTGGTCCACCACGACCACGGTCACCACCTGAACCCCAAAAGACAGTTAGTGAATACTAGCAATGCAAATACCTGAAGCACCGTTGTTTGAATACAAAGACAGTAACCTGGAGGAGGGAAGGGAGGAGGTCCAAAGCCTTCAGGTTTGGGTGCCTTGCACTGGTTACACTCCATTCTCCAGGCGAAGTTTTGGTTTCCACATCCCCTAGAAAAACAAAGACTCAAAATCAGAGGCTGAAGGCAATACATGGGTCGTTGAGTAATACTGTACAACTACTGAAATACATACGCATTTGGACACTGCCAATCTCCTGCCCTCTGTTGCATGTTTCCTCCTGTAGGTCCTCCGCGGCCCATTCCCCTGGGACCCCCACGTGGCATGAATCCTCCTCGATCACCACCTCTGCCCATCCCACCACGACCCATCATTCCTGCAGGAGAAGAGCCAATTCCAACTTAACAGACATTTCAGTAAAGAAAAACAGAAACTTAAGAGGTTTTCTGCTGCTTCTAAAACGGTGTACCTCCTCGTCCCATCATGCCACCTCGGTCTCCTCTCATTGGCATGCCCCCACGCATCATTCCCATCATGGGCTTGCGCCGGGCCATGGAAACCTTCAGCTTCTTCCCCTGGAAATCTTTTCCTAATGGGAAAACATTATTTATCTTGAGGACTCATGATGAAAGGACAGACATTCTGGAATGATTTCAGTTAAGTTCAACGCACCATCAAACCACTCGACTGCTGCCTTTGCAGATGGAGGCTCTTCGTAGGATAAGGTGGCATCACCTTTAGGTTTCCCAGTCTCTTTATCTGTATATATGTTGACAGCAGCCAGGCCCGTCCGTTTGTTTATCTTGGAAAGAAAAATGAAACAATATTCAATCATAACTTTCAAGAAATTCAATAAAAGACCATTTGACGCATGGTGTAACCCAACCCTTTACATGTTTCAGTATTAGACCAATAGTAACATGGATAAACAACAAGCCATCCATCTTTCCGAAGCCATGTCATCTTACTGAGAAAGACTATCAAGTACCCTAATGATTCCACTGTGCTTGAAAAAGTCAGCAACTTCTTCCAATGTAGCGTTCTCAGTCAGCCCAGTGATGTAGATAGTGCTGTTTTCAGAGTCATCCTGCTCCTCTGGACGTCCTGCAGAGAACAGACAGTGTTAAAAGCAGAAGTTGTTGACAAAAATAGATGAAAAGGACAAATTCAAATTTTAAAATCCAAACTTACCCTTGTCACCATCTGTTTCAGGTTTTCATCAAGCAGGAAACCAGGAGTAAAAGAAAGTGAGAAATAAGTTAGTTTAAAAGCGGAGCTTCTCAAGCACCTGACAATATTATACTACCATTTTTTTGGTCAAGACTGCCCCGGCACACTCTTTCTGACCATTCAAAGACATAAATACCATGATGCTGTTGACCCAAGAATGGTTTGATTATTGTGAAAAAGTATTAAGAGGAAACTATTCAAAAGCTACCTAGTTTTTATTCCAGTGTGCCTTAAATAGAAATATATTTGCAAAAACCCTTGAAAACCAAGGACCCAAATTGGACTCCATACCGGATATCATATAAAATTGAATAAAAGAGTGAAACACTGAAATGGTGATAATATACATGGCTGGGTCGGCCAGTTACCATTAACTCCTGATTATAAGGGCAAAAGTAGCCTTTCATTGGAGTCCACACTCAGGATTTTTAACCAATAAAAATAGGTCTGAACCATTCCTATACAACCAATGGAAAAAGTTGAAAACTCTTAATTCTAGCCGGCAGTGTAGTTCTGCAAAGCATTAATTATTTCCCTTCTGAAAAACACCCATAAAAGGTAGAGAATTCTAGTGTATGGTCTTGTGATTCTCATTAAACTTACCACCAGGCTTAATGAAGCCACCTCTGTCTCCAGCGATGCTGGGGGGAATAAGCGAAGATATGAAGGCGATATCCCTTAAAACAGCCACTTCAGTACCACAAAAAGGGTAATGGGGGCATTTTTCACAGTTCTAACTGACTCTTAAACCTCAACAAGCTCCCTTTATAAAACACAATATTGCTGAGAGTAACACTCAGTTGGGGTGCTGTAGCATTACAATGTCTGTGCACTGCGCCTGACTTGCTCGACTTACAGTTGTATGACATTAGTGGCTGAACAGTATTGGGGTTGTATAGAGCAGAAGTGAGGGTTGATCTTTATTACTACTGTAGGTGGAAAACCCCAGAAATTTGTACACTGTAATTGAGATGTAATTGTTTCAGACACAGGCCTGCTACCAACTCTAAATGAAAACGAGATTATGCAATATTTAAAACTATACCCAAATGTTGAAAATATTGGTCTTCACTAATGATCTAATCGCATGTTGGTGGCAAATGCACCAAGATGCAGGAGTAGCATGTCTGTGGCTGTATCTGAAACAATCTGCTTACATAAAGCTGGTACATGCATTTTAGTCATATAAAAAATAAAAAGCAGGTAAACCATAACACCACTTTTCTCTTTACAGAAATGTTTCTAATATAATTACACAACACACACAAAAAAAAGCTATCAAAACACTTTTATAAAAAGCGTAAACTTGTATGTTTAGGTCATTATTACAGTTTTTCTTTGGTTGCAAAACAAGATTTTCTCATTCCTGTAGGAAAAACACATTTGGAACACCTCTTGACACCACCAACTTTAAGTCCCCATTTCAAAAGGCTGCCGGCCCAGACTCAGAACTGAGTAGTGGTACTGTAAAAGTATTGATGTGTTTACATGGCTCTCACTTTGTTACCTGTAGCGTATAAATGCGACAAAGCATGTTAAAGAAAAAGTTTCATAATGCACAAGACAATTGCAATCCAAATGTGTGACAGATAAAGAAAACATACCCTTTTTTAATAGGGAAAATGAATGCAGTGTATTTGAACTGTTTGGAGCTTACCTTCATAGCCAAAATAATTTACTTTAAATGTAGTATTGCACAAGCTCAGTTAAATAAGTCTAGTAATACAACAGATATTTTAATATGCAGAGCAGGGGACATGTTAATAATGATAATATTATAATAATAATAATGAAGGGACAAGCATTTCTGTAGTAACAGTTTTGTGTCGAGCATCACTGCATTCACTTTCATATTTATTTTGTGTTAGCTTCCTGCTTTTGGCAGCATTGTAAGTCGTCTTTGGGAACCAATATCGTTTATTATAAAACAATGTGAATTTTATGCAATACTACACCTACTAGAAACATTTTCAAAACCTGCACTGATATTTATGGTCAATGCTAGTAAATGTTACCCATTTTAACACCTTTGTCTCTTTCTAAAATAACCCTAAATTTCACTTACAATTGGGAGTAAATGAGTAAAAGACTTAATGAGACTATTTGAAAATAATTCTCTACCTGCAAATCTGTGATTTGCAGGCAGACCTACAGAATCCCATTTGGAGTGATTAATAAACCTTTTGGATTTATCCTAAAGGATCACACTATGCACTGACAATGTTATTACAGCCATTTGGAGCACAGATCTAATGAACTGTGCCTTCCCCACTGTTTAATTATTTTGTTTCGTACTCTAACATCTTAATTAGGGATGCACCAAAATTTCGGCCGCCAAAAATGAAAAACAGCCGAAAATATACGGTGTGCCACACTGCCTGGCAGAGTTCAATGCGCAGGTTTCACTCTCCCTCTAGCCCTCGTCACTGCACGGTGTGATGCTCCGCTCTATGAATGTGTGTTCCGCTCGTGTACCACTCATGCTCATCGAAAAAGCAAAGTCCGCTCAAATAACGCACTGGCAGGAAATTTCTATGTAGTATACTTGTTCCTGTTTGCAATAGTGCTACTGTGCTGTAGCATGGTGTAATACAGCTGTACTGGGCAACACCCTCTCATTCACTGATCTGCTCCCATGCTCTGATAATACTGAATAAAAATAACATTTATATTTAATATTAATATATTTTCTTTCCAATTTTGTGTTACTTTCAATAAAAGTGTGGTTGTTTCATTGGCTTGTGTTTTTTAAATTCAGATGTCTTACAAAATTAGTTGATATTATTTAATAAAATAATAAATAATTATTACAAAGCATTTTCGGTTTTCGGCCAAATGCATCCAGAATTTTCGGTTTTGGCCCAGACTTTTTATTTCGGTGCATCCCTAAACTTAATAAATCTTTCATGTGAATTAAGATCCCTCAAATATATTTAATGATAAAGGGAATATGAGAGACTGAAATTATTATAACTTTCCCCAAAGCACATTCTCAATCATCTTACCTTAGGCCATAATGAGGTAGAGCTGAGAGCAGCAGCACTTTAGGATTTAAAATCAGTTTGGTATCTCGTCAAAACAATTGAGTGGATTTATTATCAAACTAAATTTTAAAAAAAGCTTCAATACTCAAGATTCTGATATATAAATTCAAACACAATTTTTGATAACAAGAAAGTCAAATTACAGTTATGACTCAAGCTTTGGCTCCAAATAATGAAGTTACATTTCTGCTGATTTAAGCATATAGCACGGCTCTCAGCCCTGTATTGCCTCTTTCAGCTCCTGTCTGAGGGAAAGAGAGGTGGTGAGGTGAGACTGCACAAACGCACACTTACCCCATGCCTCCACGGCTCATGCCCCCTCGCAGGCCACCACCTCCTCGCATCATCCCCCGGTCAAACCCACCCCGGCCACGCCCGCGGTTCTCCCCCCCTCCCATGCCTCGGCCCTCTCCAGGGCCCCCATATCCTCCAGATTCAGGGCCCGAGTAACCACCTCTGCCCATGCCGTTTTGATGGTCCTGTCTGTAATTACCTGTAAAAGAAAATTGTCTCACTAAAGCTTTCACATTTGGATAAGACAGTCTCTGCCAAACTTACTGCCAGACTTACCATACTGGTTGGGTGGTTTATAGTCTGACTGGCCATAGCCTCCTCCAGTACTGCCCTGCTGTCCGTATTGGCTAGCAGGGGGTTGTCCATAAGACGCAGAAGGTGGGGTGTAGCTGGTAGGCGGAGCCTGTTGCTGCTGGGAAGGAGTTTGTTGATATCCTCCCTGCTGGCTGTAGGAGCTCTGCTGTCCGTAGCTTCCTTGTTGGCCCTGGTATCCTCCCTGCTGCTGCTGAGAATAAGAGGTTTGCTGAGGCTGCTGGGAATACGAGCTCTGCTCATATCCAGAGGGCTGCTGGCTGCCAGAACTGTAGCTGCTTAAGGACACAAATTACAATCAGTGACCAACTCAAATACATTGCCAATCTTTAGGGGACTACGAAGAACAGAGTAAGCCCAATACCTGGGGGGCGTAGCAGAAGCAGGCTGTTGTCCATATCCAGGATATGCAGACTGGGCACTGTAACTGGCCTGCCCAGCATAAGAGGTCTGGCTATTGCTGGTCGATGAGGCAGCAGCTGTGGTGGAATCGTAGCTGCTGCCTCCATATCCCTGCACAGGCTGACTGTAGCCCTGCGGAGCGGCCGGAGTGGCATTATAACCACCTACAAAGAGTAAAAATGAAGTTACTGAATAAACACACTGCTTGGAGATACTGGAGAAATTGACCTTGGTTTGAATACCACAAAAATGGATCAAAGGTCAAAAATAACATACCACTGGCTGGTGGTTGCTGTCCATAGGATGATCCATATGCCTGCTGGCCATAACTGCTCGAGGAGCTGCTGGTCTGGGAGTAGGTCGAGTCAGCCGGTTGGCTGTATGAACCGTAACCTTGCTGTTGACCATACGACTGCTACACAACAAAAAGCAAGCATATATAGCAAGTCACTTGCACCAGGCTGCATTAACTCCTGTTTCATAATTATCTTGACAAAAAGCATGGAAAAAAGAAAAGAATTTAGGATGATGTTTACCTGAGTGCCCTGTGCATAACCCTGTTGAGAAGGCTGGGCCGCATAGGAGCTGTACCTGATAATATAAGATGGTTTTCTCAGTTTATTCATGATAAACCCACACAACTAATACATACAGGATTGCCTCATATTTTGACCAGCACATTTCCATGACTAAACATGAATGCACCAGGTGTCCATTATTAGTGAATAAGGATAAACCATCTTTATAAAGACTGCAAAAAACAAAAACGAGTATCATGAGAACCCTATATCGGTTATACATACCCCTGTTGGCTTCCAGCCTGTCCGAAACTGTTGTAATCTGCGAGAAAAACACAACATTTATTTAAAATATCAAATTCATTCACAAAAACAACGACTTTGAGTCAGAGTCGAATGAACGTACGGTCATATAACTGTTACACTTAAAACGCTTATCTTGGCTCATTCAAAACACAAATGAATAATGTAAGAAAGAAAATATAGTATAAAAAGTACATACACATATATATATATATATATATATATATACACCACACATATAGTAGTCTAAAAGTAGTGAGAGAATGGGTGGTAGGTTTCAATGAGCAAGCGCCACTCACAAATTAACACGACAAAAAAGGTAAGAATAAGAACCGTTTTGATTCTAGTGACTCCCATTGTACAACTGATGTTGAAACAGAGGAATTTTGTGATTGATATTTACAGGATTATGAATAGCAGCGGATTATTATGATACAACACATCTGAACATCATTCACAACAGACATACGAGCTGAGCTCCCGTGCTAACAATTAGCCCGCCTCTTAGCTCGAGCGTTGCCAAGCAACAGACCGGCACGTGTAAATTGGTGCTCAAAATGAAATAAGCTGGGTATAAAATAATTAAGGTAAATTCGTGTGATATCAGCTAAAGAAATTACTTGGATGTGTCTGAAGCCAAGCAAAATGTAAAGTGCCGCAGTTTTCGACCCCCTCCCCCATTTTCACACGCAGACAAACGGAACCGGTTCGAACCACACCGGCAAACTCGACAACATAAACATTTAACAGATTCATCGCGTTTTATGAAACATATAACTTACGCTACATAACTATAACTGGCAACAAAATGTATATCCACATTTACACATTTTTAAAAAATCTCTAACGTGCTATGAAACGGTACAAAAGATTTAACGCCGCTCTTACCTGCAGCAGACGCCATTTCGTGTGCCTTTGGTTGCGCTAACTGCGCATGCGTGGATGGCACTCTTCGGGAGCTACCATTTAATCAAGCGGGGGTGGACATTTATTGCAAATGTTTAAATTCCGTGAGTATTTTGGTATGAAATCCTATATATTTGTCTGAACATTAACTTTGATGCACTTTGATTGGCAAAGCACATCATACAGGAAGGAAGCTTAATATAGCGAAATTAAATATATCTGTTCATGGGTTCGTCCTGAGGATGGATTCGTCCAGAATGACCTACTTGATAGATTCCGTTTAAATAAATCCTTCACAAGAGGAATGATGCATGAAAGAAATGGTCTTAATTATATCACCATAAGCACCACTCTGCACTATTTATATAATAATAGATTGTTTATAAGCGACTGAAACACAAACGTAAATTTACAGGAGTGTTGATGAAAAACACACTAAAAACAAAACTGTAATCCCGTGACCATCTGTAAATTTGCCAGGTCTTAAACCATGAACACATGCATTGAAAAACCGAAGTGTTTCATTTTAAATATGAATAAAGTATTGTTTTAGAATTCATTTGGAACAAAACAAAAAAAATGCTACCCTGGAAAACTGCTTTACACGCTAAATGTTGTAAATTATGCTTTAATATCACATTGTAAATTATTTGTTATTTGGCATTGTTCATTGCACAGTGTAGCATTACCTACACCATAGTTTACCTGCAAAGTTTTTTTTTTCTTTCTAAGACCTAGCTAAAGCAAGCAAAAGTACATTTCAGTGTAGCATACAAAACTGTTCATTGAAAAATAGTTATGGCACTTTGAAAATTCATATGACAGTGAATGCTTATGAAGGTGTTGTACCAAATACAAGTCATATTTCTTAAGATAAATATAATAACAGGACTTTGTTGACAATCCTCAAATGACAGCACATGATGGAACCACAATTGATAATCCTGCACCTGAAACATCGGATATGGACTGGTGCAAATCGGGCTGTCAGGTTAGCGTACTGATCTGACCGCAGTGCGAGCTTCTGCAGTGCAAGAAGTTTTTTCCTAGTCAACTGCTGGGTCATTGTCCAGTGCCCAAAGGTCAATAGGTCATGATAAGCTACAGTGTCCTGTTCAAAGTGTTGTGTAGTCAGAGTAACCCATCTTGCTCAAAGACAGAGGGCAGCAGGGAGAAGTCAAAGGGGGCAAATTTGACTCCCGTTCCACTGTAGAATTTGTTCTGAAATTCCACCCTGCAAAAAGCAAAAAGTTAAAAAGAATCTATAAATAGAAGGTAGAGAAATACAGATTTCTTTATAACATAATATTTCAAAATATTCCTTTTAATTTTAAATGTAACTGAAAATATTAATATTAACTTAAAATGAGGGCTGCACAATAATGGTTAAATTATGAATATTTTGCAATAAAATATAATCACAATTATTATAACTTCATTTTTTTCCATTTCATCAGAATTTTTGCCCTTTCACATAGGCACAAATCAAGAGAACATCAACTTGCATGGTTTGCTTGCAGATTTGACAGCACAGACGTCCGTGTGAAAGAAAAACAGGCTGTTTTACACTTTTATTCAAGAAGAATATCTCAGTAGAGATTACTTACATGTTTGCCAGTGTTTTTAGCTCATTAGAGCTTTTTCTCTAATGTAGACGGCACATGTACGCATGGTTGCCAGGTTGGGGAGATTAAATAAACCACTAGGAAGAAATGTATAAATTGTGACCCTGGAGCACAAAACCAGTCTTAAGTCGCTGGGGTATATTTGTAGCAATAGCCAAAAATACATTGTATGGGTCAAAATTATCGATTTTTCTTTTATGCCAAAAATCATTAGGATATTAAGTAAAGATCATGTTCCATGAAGATATTTTGTAAATTTCCTACCGTAAATATATCAAAACTTTATTTTTTATTAGTAATATGCATTGCTAAGAACTTCATTTGGACAACTTTAAAAGCGATTTTCTCAATATTTAGATTTTTTTTGCACCCTCAGATTCCAGATTTTCAAATAGTTGTATCTCGGCCAAATATTGTCCTATCCTAACAAACCATACATCAATGGAAAGCTTATTTATCCAGCTTTCAGATGGTATATACATCTCAATTTTAAAAAATTCACCCTTATGACTGGTTTTATGGTCCAGGGTCACAATTTAAGGGAAAGCTTAAAAGCTTAAGCTCATTGGGGGATTTAAGCTCTTGACATCTGGCAACTGCATCCATATGTGCTTGTGGTCGCTTGTTACCAATGCAAGATAATGCAAATGCCAATTTAAAATGAAATGTTTTCAGGATAAACATATAGCAGGCAAATACCGCAGATGATTATGCTTAAAGGGGTCATATGATGCGATTTCAA